TCCTTGACTGTTGAGTGTCTGCCGAATCCCCCAGCCGCTGTACCATTCTTGTCAGACAGTGTTGATCTGCTTGTCCCCTGCACTACTCGCTCCCAAAGGAAACGAATAATATTTAACTTGCTCTGCATCAACATACTACAGAGAAGTGCAGATTAGCCAATCTTTCTTGCTGTTCGTTTCCAAATCACCTGCATGACTTTAAGAAAATATCAGAGACACGAAATGTTTGTTCAACTCCGCATTCATTTTCAAACTAGATGTTGTGGTGTCATATACTAGGCTTTTTTGTACCAATCGATGCCCATTGGTATTTCCAATTAACCCCCACGCACTTGTTCTGCCTCTTAACACAAAACCATCTGGGCCGGAACATTCAAATGAATCATTTGCAGTATTTCTGCATTCTCCCATCACCTTTAATTGTCATTGACGAGCATGTTAATTTACATCAAACGATCGCCTAAAGATTGTCTTAATTCATATGTTGACATGTTTTCCGTCCAAGTTTTGTATGGGTTGCAAACATTTCTTCCTGCAGTGGCTTATCGGCAAAAGTGAGGACTGATAATGTTGCTTGCATTTAAAACAAAATGGTAAAAATGTATTCAATGTGGGCGGTAATGGAGATGTCAAGAATCGAATGTCGTCACAGAACGGATATGACCCGATGACCTTGTTTGCGGCGCATGCGTAGACTGATGTTTATACAATGGCGACGCAGGTGTTCGACTCGGACAGTGAAGACGAGCTACCCCCGGGCTGGGAGGAACGCGTTACCACCGACGGCAAAGTTTACTACGCCAAGTAAGCCCGGCTTGTCTGTGCTAGCAACATCATAGGAAAGTGTGAATTTCATTCACTTATGTCCTGTTTTTTTTTCTTTTCAAACGCGTCCTCTTGCCAAGCTGATCAAAATGATCAAAATCAAACTGAACACTGAACATGTCCAATAATATTATAAAGATGGAAAAGGTGGAAAATTTAATAAAATAGTGGCTTTAGAAAAAGAATAATAAAAATCTTGAAGTCAAAATGCTGAATGAATTATGTTAGTTGTCATTAGTGATTTAGTAATTACTTAACTCATTATCCAATAAACGGTATATCTTTATGGAAGGTGCTAGATATCTTCCTACTGTCCGTTGATTATAAATATTAATAGAATAGACCTTAATAAATAACTCATCAATTAGTAATTTCTCTGCACAGTGCTCGCTCCACTCTGGGTCATTGTAGTGTGCTAATTCTTCGTCCTCAGATTCTTCTTCTCTTTTCTCTGCCTGTCTCTTCTTCTTCTGCCATCTTATTCTCATTTTTGCCATATGACTGACAGTTTAGTTATTATCATGCTTGTTGACAGCCTTCTTTCTGCCTCACATTCTGCCAGTGTCTCGTAATTATATTTTCAGTCACTTGATACAGATATCCTTCCATATCATTTTGCCAAACTTAACATCTTGCTATTGATCTCCCCCTGTCTCTTCCCCTTTGTTGTCACTGTTGTTATGACATACATCCTTTTTTTTTTTCTCTCTCTCACATGTGGATTGTGCACACACACACAGTGCCACATGTGTCTGGCACTACAAGCTGGCATGGTTGCTGTTGGTGTTTGTCTCTCTCTCACATGTGGATTGTGCACACACACACAGAGTGCCACATGTGTCTGGCACTACAAGCTGGCATGGTTGCTGTTGGTGTTTGTCTCTCTCTCACATGTGGATTGTGCACACACACACACAGTGCCACATGGTCTGGCACTACAAGCTGGCAGGGTTGCTGTGTGTTTGTCTCTCTCTCACATGTGGATTGTGCACACCACACAGTGCCACATGTGTCTGGCACTACAAGTGGCATGGTTGCTGTTGGTGTTTGTCTCTCTCTCACATGTGGATTGTGCACACACACAGTGCCACATGTGTCTGGCACTACAAGCTGGCATGGTTGCTGTTGGTGTTTGTCTCTCTCTCACATGTGGATTGTGCACACACACACAGTGCCACATGTGTCTGGCACTACAAGCTGGCATGGTTGCTGTTGGTGTTTGTCTCTCTCTCACATGTGGATTGTGCACACACACACAGTGCCACATGTGTCTGGCACTGGCTGGCATGGTTGCTGTTGGTGTTTTGTCTCTCTATCACTATTGTGCACACACACACAGTGCCACATGTGTCTGCACTACAAGCTGGCATGTTGCTGTTGTGTTTGTCTCTCTCTCACATGTGGATTGTGCACACACACACAGTGCCACAGGTGTCTGGCACTACAAGCTGGCATGGTTGCTGTTGGTGTTTGTCTCTCTCTCCACTATTGTGCACACACACACAGGCACATGTGTCTGGCACTACAAGTGGACATGGTTGCTGTTGGTGTTTGTCTCTCTCTCACATGTGGATTGTGCACACACACACAGTGCCACATGTGTCTGGCACTACAAGCTGGCATGGTTGCTGTTGGTGTTTGTCTCTCTCTCACATGTGGATTGTGCACACACACACAGTGCCACATGTGTCTGGCACTACAAGCTGGCATGGTTGCTGTTGGTGTTTGTCTCTCTCTCACATGTGGATTGTGCACACACACACCAGTGCCACATGTGTCTACAAGCTGGCATGGTTCCTGTGGTGTTTGTCTCTCTCTCACATGGGATTGACACACCAGTGCCACAGTGCCACCATGTGGTCTGGACTACACGCTGTGCATGTAGCCGTGTGGCATGGTTGTTGGTGTTTGCTCTGCCTACAACACCACAGTGCCATGTGTCTGGCCAGTACAAGCTGGCAACCTGTTGGCTACTCTGGAAGGGTGAGAACTGGAAGTGGTAGCCTGCACACCCACAGGATGCCCATGGCAACCTCACTTGCTCGAGGCTTAAAAAGAGGGGGGGGGGGTGCACTGACTTGCCAGGTGGGATGGCATCCATTTGGTTAAATACTCCCTCAAACTGCAACAGGCCCAGCAAGCCAGCAGTGGATTAAATCTTGCCCAAAAAAAACAATAGAGAGCTGGCACTTGATGCCTCTTTAACTCTTTACGGACGTTTAGCCAGTATACTGGCGCTTAAGTCTATCCCTTAAAGACGTAAAGCCAGTTACCTGGCTCATGATATAGACACTCTAATTTTGTTCCATTTGTAGGGTAAACAAACTTTTATGAACAAGTTTTTTAACAATTAGGATCAACAACAGGATGTACTTTCATTTGCGATGTTCATCGTGGTTGGTGCATTATTTTGTGATTTAAAAAAAAATTATTTAGATGGGATACAATTTTTACCTGATTTTTCTATACTAAATGATAAGGGAAAAGGTCTAGAACTGTCCATACTGCTCTATCGTTGATGAATCTCTGCCAGATGGTGACAACAGTCTTGATATTATGATTGATATCTAAGGGGCACTTCTATTAGCGATAATTTAGTTTAGGATATGAAAATTTCACAAAATATTTCATTATATCAATGTTTCGATCAGCTGTTTTTACGATTTTCGGTTGTGAAAATTGACATGTCATACAAAAATGATAATAATATCCCAAGTATTGAAATTAATTGTTTCAAATAAAGACTAGTTAATACATAATTGAACAGAGAAGGCATGTGTGTTCTTAGAATTGGATGGCAGTGTTGTTGAACCAGTAAAAAATAAGGTTAGCACACAATTTTTTATGTTTAAAATTGTCCTTTGTGTCTAACATCCTTGAATGTTGTGTGATTTTTATAATATTTTGATGTTATACTGACATTTAAGTAGTTTAGATTTATTCTGCACTCATTTATCTTTAATTTGAAATATTATAAGTCCCGATACAGCCCATACTTTCTCTTCAGGAAGGTTTTAGCTTTGTCGTGTTGCACTAAACAAATTCCGCTTAAAATTAATGCTGTCCAAACCCCAGAAAAAATGCTGTCCTTAAAGAGTTAAAATTTGATGCTGACAGTCTGAACAGGACTAAAGAAGATGATAAAGAGGTGCTATTATTATGTGAGATCACAGAAAACATTAAGTTCTCTTGTTTACTATCACTGTGTTCACATTACTGAATTCCCCTCTAGGCCACACTAGGTTTGTGTGTGTGTCTGGGCACTCAGCCTATATCAGTTAGGGGACATGTTTGGGGAAAGTAAAACAGTGTTGATGGGAAATTGTCTACACAAGCCGTTATGTGCCAGATGTTCATATAAATATGGGGCTGATACCATATGATCAGTATTCACCAAGACAAGAAAGAGTTGTCCTTGATTGTTGACTCTCGGTATGTATGGGGACTTGAATGGCCTTATTGTTAGTGCTCTCACCTACCACATCCTGGTGTGGGTTCATTCCCCAGCAGCAGCAGACCTCTGTTTTCCCAGTCAGCATCACTCTTGGCTTCAGTTAAATTAAGAATAGACATCACAGTACTCAGGGCATTCCCATAAGTGCTCTGTCTTTAGCAGCCGGTGCTAAGTTCCAGTTCTGATGGAACTAGTAGCAGTTTGATTGTCTGTCCATCTTGCCTTTTCCTCTGAGAGTTTAGAAAGCAGTCCTTTTTTCCATTCTAAGGTTTATAAATTGTAATAAATTCTTTGTTTAACTATTCAGTGTTGCCTGATCCCGTGGTACCTCTGCGCTGCAACATTCTCTTCAGACTGTGATGATCAGTTTGTGCTTCTGTATTGTTCACCTTCTCCCAGAAGACAGACCACACAAAGCTTGTCGTTAATCAAGACGTGCCTGTCTTAACCCTTCAGAAATCAAGTTTGTTGTTTGTTAATTTGCTGCATTCACCCCCTAGTAGTGCAGAACTAGCCATTCTGTCTGCCTGTTAATTTCCCTACATACCTGCATGATCTAGAGAAAAAATCCACAGAGCAGACATTTCTTCACCTCGTTTATCATGATTTGTGTGTTGGATTTTGAGTTTGCCTACAGGTGTAGTCAGACACATCTTTATGCGTGGCATAACTGTGATATTACAAGGCAAAGTAAGGTCTTTTGCAAAGATCATAAATTGTGCATTCACTTGTGACATCACTGTCCTGAATCACTTGTGACATATATACACTGCCCTGAATCACTTGTGACATATATACACTGCCCTGAATCACTTGTGACATATATACGCTGCCCTGAATCACTTGTGACATATATACACTGCCCTGAATCACTTGTGACATATATACACTGTCCTGAATCACTCGTGACATATATACACTGCCCTGAATCACTTGTGACATATATACACTGCCCTGAATCACTTGTGACATATATACGCTGCCCTGAATCACTTGTGACATATATACACTGCCCTGAATCACTTGTGACATATATACACTGCCCTGAATCACTCGTGACATATATACACTGCCCTGAATCACTCGTGACATATATACACTGCCCTGAATCACTCGTGACATATATACACTGCCCTGAATCACTAGTGACATATATACACTGTCCTGAATCACTGTGACATATATACACTGTCCTGAATCACTAGTGACATATATACACTGTCCTGATTCACTAGTGAAATATATACACTTCCCTGAATCACTAGTGACATATATACACTGCCCTGAATCACTAGTGACATATATACACTGCCCTGAATCACTTGTGACATATATACACTGTCCTGAATCACTAGTGACATATATACACTGCCCTGAATCACTCGTGACATATTTACACTGTCCTGAATCACTTGTGACATATATACACTGTCCTGAATCACTTGTGACATCACTGCCCTGAATCACTCGTGACATATATACACTGTCCTGAATCACTCGTGACATATATACACTGCCCTGAATCACTCGTGACATATATACACTGTCCTGAATCACTCGTGACATATATACACTGCCCTGAATCACTCGTGACATATATACACTGCCCTGAATCACTTGTGACATATATACACTGACCTGAATCACTTGTGACATATATACACTGCCCTGAATCACTAGTGACATATATACACTGTCCTGAATCACTAGTGACATATATACACTGCCCTGAATCACTTGTGACATATATACACTGCCCTGAATCACTAGTGACATATATACACTGTCCTGAATCACTCGTGACATATATACACTGCCCTGAATCACTAGTGACATATATACACTGCCCTGAATCACTAGTGACATATATACACTGACCTGAATCACTTGTGACATATATACACTGCCCTGAATCACTAGTGACATATATACACTGTCCTGAATCACTCGTGACATATATACACTGACCTGAATCACTTGTGACATATATACACTGCCCTGAATCACTAGTGACATATATACACTGACCTGAATCACTAGTGACATATATACACTGACCTGAATCACTTGTGACATATATACACTGCCCTGAATCACTAGTGACATATATACACTGTCCTGAATCACTTGTGACATATATACACTGCCCTGAATCACTCGTGACATATATACACTGCCCTGAATCACTTGTGACATATATACACTGACCTGAATCACTTGTGACATATATACACTGACCTGAATCACTTGTGACATATATACACTGACCTGAATCACTTGTGACATATATACACTGCCCTGAATCACTCGTGACATATATACACTGCCCTGAATCACTTGTAACATATATACACTGACCTGAATCACTTGTGACATATATACACTGCCCTGAATCACTTGTAACATATATACACTGACCTGAATCACTTGTGACATATATACACTGACCTGAATCACTTGTGACATATATACACTGACCTGAATCACCTGTGACATATATACACTGACCTGAATCACTTGTGACATATATACACTGACCTGAATCAGACAGAGATTTCTAAAACAGACTTCATTTTACCCAGGTCTTTTTTCTGCACTATGCAGTGCCAGAAACTGTTTTTTTTCTTCAGTCTGCTGTATTAGATACCTTTTATTTGACTGCTTGTGGTGAGTACCGACATTTTGTTTTCTACATAGTCCTGATTTTACCAGGTATTTTTTGTGGGCATGTAGGGTATAATTTTGCTGCACAGTGTTAAGCTGCTGTTTAATTTCATTGTGTTGTTGGCAGCCATGAAACACAAAACACCCAGTGGAAGCACCCGGTTACTGGCAAGAAGAAAGTTGTCAAAGGAGGTATGCAAACATTTTATTCATTTTAGTCAGTTACTATATTATTTTACTCTCTCTCTCTCTCTCTCTCTCTCTCTCTCTCTCTCTCTCTCTCTCTCTCTCTCTCTCTCTCTCTCTATCTGTCTTTGTCTGTCTATATATATATATATATATATATATATATATATATATATATGGTGCTCTGGAAGGAGGCTGACTTTCCTTCATGCCAGCTGTCAGGAGAGTGGTGCTCTGGAAGGAGGCTGACTTTCCTTCATGCCAGCTGTCAGGAGAGTGGTGCTCTGGAAGGAGGCTGACTTTCCTTCACGCAGTCTGTCAGGAGAGTGGTGCTCTGGAAGGAGGCTGACTTTCCTTCATGCCAGCTGTCAGGAGAGTGGTGCTCTGGAAGGAGGCTGACTTTCCTTCATGCCAGCTGTCAGGAGAGTGGTGCTCTGGAAGGAGGCTGACTTTCCTTCATGCCAGCTGTCAGGAGAGTGGTGCTCTGGAAGGAGGCTGACTTTCCTTCATGCCAGCTGTCAGGAGAGTGGTGCTCTGGAAGGAGGCTGACTTTCTTCATGCCAGCTGTCAGGAGAGTGGTGCTCTGGAAGGAACTTGCTGCTTGATGGCATATTATACAAGCTAGTAGCCATTTGGTCTTAATTGGAATACGTTGATAGACTCTATGAGACTCGGCCTTGAGTGACTGATGCCCTATGTGGCATTTCATCATTGTTTATTTAGGCCTAGTTAGCATGTGATTATAGAAAATATTCTATCCTGCTGTGGGATTGTTCACTAGACATTAGAGTAATGTGACTGCCATCATATCTTATAGTATAATAAAATTTTCGTTATATGAAAAATGCTGATTTCTACAAATGTCCTATTTCCTTCAGAACTTCCATATGGCTGGGAGCGAAGTGTCACGGAAGATGGAACTATGTTTTTTGTTGAGTAAGTGTTTCATTGAATTATTAAGCAAATTATGTACATTAACTCTGAATTATGAGTGTTCAGTGTTTATACAAGATGTTTTCAAGTGTTTGTTATTTAGGGTACTAGAACTGGGAAAAAACTGACAAGATTAATTACAAACAGAGCAAGGGAGAGACACACACAAATACCTAGAAAGCATATGAATACACGATGATAAATGTCACTTATATATAAAAAATAAAGGTACTTACTTACTAGCCAGCCACAAACAGAGAAAATCCACAGGTCATAGGACAGTGAGATATTTCAGGGGGAGGTGGATTGAGTGTATAGTTTTGGTTAGGGTTAGGATTAGGCATTCGCACGTAAAACCTTGGCCTTAAAAGAAATGTGCTAAAGCCCACAAAACAGGGAAAAACCCGCTCTTACTGCCCTGAATGTCAGACGGGCCTGCGTGCCCAATTTGTAACCCTTTGAAAATAAAGTTTGTTTGTTTTGTAAAATATGGGACTGTCAAGTGACATAATTTATGGTCAGAGAAAATAAAAGCAGCAATATAAAGATTGTCACTTATGTCTAAAATATAGATGTTGTCACTTGAAAATGAAAGATTGTTTAAAAAAAAAATCTGCACTCGGTTGGTAATGTGGTCTGGCTCAATCAGGGCCTGAATCCACTAACTTCTGATCCACAGAGGAGTGCCTAGCCGCTACACCACGGCGTCTCCTATATATTGTCATTTATCTAACAAAGATGAATGATGTCACTGATATATGAAAGATCAGTGTCACTGATAGAACCATTTAGTATTCAAGAGTCTATCCACACTATTGTGGGAGCCGCAGTAGTCAAACGGCTAGATGCTTGTCTGCTAGCCTAAAGGTCACAGGTTGACCCAACCCAAAATGGGTGCCACGTAATGTCCTGGGAAATAAAGGTGGCCAGCTTGATGCTGCCCACATCATCCACTGAGCGCCGATTCGCTATGCAAATTTGATTGTAGCGCTATATACCCAATACGCCTCTGATGTAAAAAAAAAACTTTTTGTTGTTGTTGGCTCTAACTACAACATTGTGGGTTTATTTCAGCCATATTAACCAAAAGACAACCTACACAGACCCAAGACTGGCCTTTGCTGAGGAGGTCAAGGACTCGCCCCTGGACTTCAGGCAGAAGTATGATGGCAGTAGCACAGCTCTACAGATCCTCCATGGCAAGGATCTGACTGGGAGGTTTGTGCTGATAACTGGAGCAAATTCTGGGATAGGTATGTCTTCCCTGACCATTTCTCAAATATACTTTAAAAAAGAAGAAAGCAATAACAGATGGATAGCTTCTGAACGGAACATAATTTTGACCTTAAACATGTTTGTAATTTAATGAGTAAAGAGGAACACAAGAATAACGTAGGGTTCAACCAGTCAGTGATAGTTTTTTCACATCTGGGTCAGCAGCAGTTTTTTAGGCATATAGGATTTCAGCTAATAAAAACATTTCATCAGAAAACTGTGTTTTTTGTTTTTTTTAACAGTAAATATGTAAACATGAAAATGGTAGTGGGTTGGTAGATGTTGTTTTCTTCAGTGTTGCATTTGGTTTCAATTCTCTAACATTGCTGGTCCCAAGCCCGGATGAGAAAGGAGAAGGACTGGGCATGCGGCCAGTTCTTCCACCCTGTTAAATGAGCCATGAAACTTTTAGAATAGGAAGCCATTCTGGCAAACTTGATAGGTTGAAATGGAAGAATCAATTTTAAGTCCTATGTGATGTAAATCGGCATGGATGTTGACCAGGTCACCCGTCGGTCAGCCATTTGTCTGTTCATATTTAAGTCTAGTATTATATACCTGATGTGCCTCTGGTAGGAAAACGGTCCGTTACATTTGTTATTGGGGGAGCCGCTGTGGTGTAGTAGCTAGACGCTCACCTACGAATCAGAAGGTCATGGGTTCAGGTCCTGACGGAGCCGTACTTCTTTTTAACAAATGTCATTGGCTCCCAGCTGGAGCCAGCCTTGAATGAGTACTAAGTTTAGCCTTGGGAAGTAAAGGTAGCCAGCATGACCTTGGCTCCCAGCTGGAGCCAGCCTTGAATGAGTACTAGGTTCAGCCTGGGAAGTAAAGGTGGCCAGCATGACCTTGGCTCCCAGCTGTGGACCCAGCCTTGAATGAGTACTAGGTTCAGCCCTGGGAAGTAAAGGTGGCCAGCATGACCTTGGCTCCCAGCTGGACCCAGCCTTGAATGAGTACTAGGTTCAGCCCTGGGAAGTAAAGGTGGCCAGCATGTCATTGGCTCCCAGCTGGAGCCAGCCTTGAATGAGTACTAGGTTCAGCCCTGGGAAGTAAAGGTGGCCAGCATGTCCTTGGCTCCCAGCTGGACCCAGCCTTGAATGAGTACTAGGTTTAGCCTTGGGAAGTAAAGGTGGCCAGCATGTCATTGGCTCCCAGCTGGAGCCAGCCTTGAATGAGTTCTAGGTTCAGCCCTGGGAAGTAAAGGTGGCCAGCATGTCCTTGGCTCCCAGCCTTGAATGAGTACTAGGTTCAGCCCTGGGAAGTAAAGGTGGCCAGCATGACCTTGGCTCCCAGCTAGACCCAGCCTTGAATGAGTACTAGGTTCAGCCCTGGGAAGTAAAGGTGGCCAGCATGATGTTGATCCCCTCACTCACAGACTGCCGATTGATCTATCAAATATAGGTCTAGTCCTGAATGCCTACAGCCGAGGAAAAGGCACCTTGTTACATTTGTTAACCTTTACCTGTGCGAATTATAACGGCACAACATAATGATGATTGGGCTTCACCCCTATCTTGATCTTATTATTATCCATTACATATCCCATTGTTTTTTTTATACCTGTCCACAGTCTTGTGCCATGTGTATTGCCAGTCTTTTCTGATACAGATGGTCTGTCATGCAATGATGCCAGATTGTCGTTTATAGAATACTTCTACAGAAATCAGATACTAGGGACAGAAATCATGGTTTAATTTTGTTCCAGCAGTGCGCCCTGTTCTGAGGGATGATACTCATGTTTACTAATTGTGTTACGTGTGATTATGCTTCTTAAGTTTAGCCAGGACACATTAGAAACTCTGGTGTCATGTTTTTCCCTACCAGGTTGGCTCTGTGTAGCATGCAAGAGTTCTTTTTCTAGCCTGCTGTAACAGAAATGTATTAGAAATGTTATACCCATGTTTTTAGTGTTATAATTGTCTCCCTTGAACATCTGATGTGACCTGGCTTCATAGTTAATGTTGTTCATAAATGAACTGGACTTCTGTTTTCAAAAAAGAGAATTTACTAAACATTTTGTTCGTGTGTGTGGTTGTGATTTCTGTTGGATTGTTCTGTTCCAGTATTGGGTAAATTGTGTTTTTCCTAGTGCCAATGTATATTGTGGCTGTTTGATGTCGGAGTGAAATGACGACCAATAGTTTTCACAACTCTTGAGCGCGCTGTCCCTGCAGTGTTTTGGTTGTAGCGGTCGACTCTCCAGGACGACAGAATCTCATCAGCAAGGGCCACAAACTGGCCAGAGAGCAAACTATAAAAATAAAAGCTGTCCGCAGAAACAGAATGTTTCAACCATTTTTTGTTTTGGTTGTTGGGTGGAATTGACACATTCAGTTAACTCAGCAGCCATGGCCTTAGATACGCCTGATTTCATTTTTGTATTTGTGTCCACTAGGTTTTGAGACTGCAAGATCTCTGGCTCTTCACGGAGCAACAGTAGTGATGGCTTGCCGCAATGTCCAGTCAGCACATGAGTGTCGGGCCAGGATTTTACAAGAACGGCCGGAGGCCAAAGTGGAGGTCATGTTCATTGACCTTGCATCTCTGAAATCTGTTCAACAGTTTGCTGATGACTACGAAGATATGGGATGGTTAGTAAGTCTGTCTGTTCTCTGTGTCAGAAATTATTGTTGCTCTGTCTTTTCTCTGTCTCTGTCTGTCTCTCTGACATTTCTATCTTAGCCCTGATTGTTCCGTCAAGTATCTGTTCAGTCATCACAGCTAGTCATATTTCACTGCAACTATTTGCTTTTGGTTCTCAACAAGGTCAACGTTGATTGTAAACTTTGTTTAGTTGTAAGAGGAATTCTAGAAATAATTGGCTGTTTAGGCTTTATATCAACACTTTAGACAATGTTGATAGATTAGACCAGCACATCACTTCAAAGAATGGTGAGAGGTTAGACCAACACAACATTTTAAAACAATGTTGATAGATGAGACCAACACAACACTTTAGACAATATTGAGAGATTAGAAAACACAACACTTCAGACGATGTTCAGACACAATACTTTAGAAAATGTTGGCTCTGGGATTGATCCTACCTCATAAATTGTATTTTTTCTTTTTTTTTTTTTATAGGTCATATGGCTATGTGAAGCAGTGCTGTTTATTGAAAGAAACCATATGATCATTGAAAGACATAATGTGTTTTTGTTTTAAAAAAAATCATGAGCATATTTAAGTAAATAACATTCTGACCAAATAAATCATGTGTGTTTATGTAAAGAAATCCCATTTATGTAAAGAAATGTGTTTGTGTAAAGGAATCAAATTCTTTTGTAAAGAAACCATGTCTTTGTTTATGCAAAGAAACCATTGTTTATGCAAAGAAACCATTGTTTATGCAAATAAACTGTGTGTTAGTGCAAAGAAACTGTTTGTATTTTTAAAGACACCATGTGTTTATGTAAAGAAACCGTGTGTATATCTAAAGACATCATATATTTATGAGCAGAAACCATGTGTTTATGTAAAGAAACCATGTGTTTGTGTCACAGGCCGCTGCACATACTGATCCTCAATGCAGCAATATTCGGCACCGGTTACATCCAGACAGAGGACAACCTAGAGGCCACGTTTCAGGTGAACTACTTGTCCCAGTTCTATCTGACCAAACTCCTTGTCAACATCATGATGCGGTCTGCTCCAGGGAGGGTGGTCGTTGTGTCCAGTGAGAATCACAGGTAACTTGATTATACCTCATTCTCTCATTTCTTCTGTTCTTTTTCTTCTACTGCTGATTTTATCTTAAAGAGCTCTTGACGCACAGTGTATTAGTTTACAGCTAAGCTGCAAGATCTGCACCATTTGGCCCAACACTGCCAGAGGTAGTGGGTCTTTTCTTATTTTTGTTCTTAAGATAGGGTCCATGGAACCCACAGGGCAAACTTTACATTTAGTGTTGGTAGGTGTTTTCGGCTTGGCTGTATTTACTGGTGTACTTTGTGTTTTTACTAGTGTCCTTTGTGTTTGAAGCTTTGACATTTGAAAGTGAGGTTCTGTTTGAAGTGGTTTAACAGAATTGGTCTGATAGATTTGCTATTAAAAAATTAGTTTTAAATTTTTTAAATGCCACCTGGAGGTAGAAAAAAAAAAACCTCAGAAATTATGGAATATTTCTTGGGTCCCAATTTGTAACCTTTTGAAAATAAAGTTTGTTCGTTCGTTCCTTGTTCTCATCTTCCTTCTCCTCTCCTTCATTCGTTTGCTTGAAACAATGGAATAAACTCAACGATTGGTTGACACTTGGCAGACGTAAGGGAAAATAAGCCAGGGTAGAACAGGAACATTCATGGTTCTGGAGAGCATGTGAGACAGCCTCCACTTGTTGACCTTGTTCATGATAATGATGATCTGCAATTTTTTCTCTTGTCTGAAAGCTCACAGACATTTTTAGTTCACTCTATACAGCAGTAGACCATCAGCCATCTCATCACTCTGTAAAAGTACTGTTGGTTTGATCTCCTGCTGTCCTTTAGATGTTTTCCATTATTTATTCATCTGTGTCGTTAATTCTCATCTGTATGTTTTTTTTTTCTTTCTTTTTTTTCCTGTGGATTCCAGCGAGAAGGATATTCTAGTTACACAGTTATCAGTTTTGTCAATGTGTATCTTATACTGTATGTCATGTATGCCTAACACATAAAATGCTAAACAATCATGATTACTTTAGATGCTGTTATGTACTCAAATATGATTGATTACATTTAGTTATTAGCCGACATCACAGGGCTCCAGACATACTCATAAGCACTCATCTTCGGCAGCTGGCGAAGAGTTCCAGCACCGATGCTACCCGTATCTTGTGTCTGTGTGAACTGAACACTGTTATGTTTGTTCTTTGATGCCACCAGATTCAGTGATTTGAAGGAAAACAACCTGACTGTGGAGAAGCTGTCTCCAAAAACCCACACATATTGGCACATGATGGCTTACAATAACTCTAAGCTGTGCAACATTCTCTTCGCCAACGAGCTCAACTGCCGGCTGTCACCTCATGGGATCGTGGCCAACTCCATCCATCCAGGAAACATGATGAGTTCAGGCCTGTCCCGCAACTGGTGGCTCTACAGGCTTCTCTTTGCTTTGGTTAGGCCATTCACAAAGTCCATGGTGAGTCAGGTTTTCATTTTCTTTGTGTCAGCTGCTGGCTGAGCAGTTCAGGTCACTGGGCTCGCATTTGGGAGACCGTGGTTCAAATCCTCTGTGAGACTTTTTTCTGTTGGGAGTAAAAAATAATATCATAGTCTGCACAGTCCATGGTAACTGTACTAGCCATAAACCATCAGGCTTAACAACACACCCCCCCCCCCCCCCAACTCCCCGAACACCACTGCATCAAAAAGACAGTGTTAAGTTTCAACACCAGGTAATGTTTCCTAAATTAGTCAATGGCAGGCAGTTGTATCATTGTAAGTTTACTTAATACCTTTACAGTGATGATCATGATGATTTTGTCATACTTTAAAAGTCATAACTTTTGTCCAATACAGTAGAATGATTGGTTCATTAAATACTTTGATATGACCCATTTGTTGGATACCTTGGAAAGCTATTATAAACTTATTAATACCTTGAAAATTATACGTATATTCAGCATTTTGTTCCCTGTAAATAATAAATTGTGTTCAATACCTTGAACATGCTAAATTTGTTAATACTTTTAGAATGATAAATTATATTTTCCTACCTACCTAGCGCCATTATATATTTTCTTGATTGTGATTTTTTTTTTTCAGCAACAAGGGGCAGCAACCACAGTTTATTGTGCTGTGGCCGAAGAACTCGGCAATGTTGGAGGTTTGTACTTCAATAACTGCTGTCGTTGCCCTCCTTGCAAATTGGCAGAGAACAAATCTATGGCTGTCGCCTTGTGGAGCTTGAGTGAGCAGATTTTGAACAGCCGCATTATCCCAAGAAAGATTGTTCCCAATGATGGTAGCTGATTTTGGTAAGCAACATTTCCTAACCCGCTTAACCATGAATCTCTTTGGACATAAAACCCAAGAATCCCGGAGTTGCCAGAAAAAATCCTTTTGAAAAACAGGTCACTAATAAATTGTTTAACCCTAGCAGACCGCTGGCCCGATTTTCCGGGAATTTTTTCTAACCTGACACTATACCGGTGGCCCCATTTTTCGGGAATTTGCATAGTACGTGAAAGATATGCGCCACAGGCTAAAAATAACCAGCCAATCGCCATCAGACTTGGTGGTTAGTCATTGCCAAGGACTTCCCACGTGTGTTAAGATTTCTTTGTGTGGTTTGATGTGAACAAAATTTGGAAAATTCTCAATGAAACGAGCGGCTTCGACAAGAAAGTGACGTAGGTCTAGGTTTTTCAGGGTTTAACAGGTGATCGATACTTTGGTTAATTCAGACTGTGAATATGTTCATGAAGAATGCATTCCCAGTTGAAGTGACACAGTCACTGAGAGCTAGAGTGAGGAGGAGAATTATGAAAATTATAGATTAAAAACTAGATCGATAGTAAGAGAAGAGGGTGTGTCCCTCAAACAGCAACATCTAGTGCTTACTTTGTGAAATAAGACTGATCCTTCTAGGTGGGTTGGCACACAAAGGTGGAAGATTAGCGCTAGATGAAAGGTAAACCTATTTTCTACAATGTCTCCAAGTTTTATCTTATTCTAACCACTGGTTTGCATGTAACTAATATTTTTGTAAATCATGTTGGTTTTTTTGTATTAGTGCCCAGGAGCTCAGGTTATAGGGGCAGTTAGGTTCAGGGCCTTAGGTCTGGTAGGGTTAAGCATTCATTTATATACACTGACATTTTTAGAGGGGAAATAACTAAAGGAAAGTAATCAATAAAAACAAACAGAGCAGAGAATTTGATTTCTTTCCTTGGATCTAAAAACAAATAATTCGCGCGGTGACCCATACCAAAACCTTTTGACTTCCATTACTCAAGGCTAAAGGGCAATTACGTCACTGTGACAGAAAGCAAGCCAGATTTTTTTTCTCGCCCACAAGGAAACCCCCTGCAATGCTATTTTTAGTCAATATAATCATTGCCTGGTCATCCTAAACACTGTGCAGGCGCAACAGAACCAGTGCCATTAACTTGACTTCATAGGGGCTAGCCAGTAAAGCAGTGCTGGTTTAGTGGCTCTGGGGGGGGGGGGGGCTGACGCTGGATTAGGTGCATTATGGGGACCATTGGGTTAAAGTTGTTGGAAATCAGTTTGAAATGTTAATTTACAATGTTAACTGTATAGATGACATTTGTGTTTGATTTTCATTCTAAAGAAATGCCAGTTTGTGTGTGTGTATTTATTGTGAATATAAGAATGATCTTTCACTGCCATAAACTATATATTTATAATTGTTTTACTCTTTTAGTCCTCAACTCCTGGCCCTTACCTTGAGCTTAGCCATTGTGTAATTTTTTTTAAACTTTTTTATTTCAACTTGTTATATCTGACCAAAGCATGCTAAACATGGACAGTCAGGGTAACTAAACAATCTTTGCCTGGCTGATGAGCAAGGGAATATACACAGCTGTAAAAATGTTTTTTTCATACAATTTTTTTAAAAAAAGGCACATAATAATATATTTAACTCTTCTTCTGTTTATCATTTAATGGAGCATAGTCACCTTAACTAACTTACTCCAGGTCCTCCTGTTCTTTGCTAGTGCCGTATCTTCCCAGTTATTTTACCCTGTAAACCATAGAGGTGTAGAAATAAAGGCCGGCTACAGACCACCTGAAGCAGGAAACTGTGAATTATTGTACAAATAGGACAGGTCAGTATTAAAGAGGCCGATTGAGCAGACAAAAAAATGTTGTCTGCTGGCCTGAGATGGAAACCTGGTGGAATGTCCCTAGTAACATTAACCCAGAACACCAGTGACCTAGATCTGGGGAAAAATAAATGCTCCCTGGCACCTGGTAAGAATCCTGATGATATTAAACACACATTCCTCCCCACTGACCATATCCTGTATCTGTTTATCTCCTGTGGAAATACTTCACTGTGATTATATTCACTGTAGTTGTCTCCCTGCTTTGATATCTGCTATACAGATTTGATGACTGCAAAGGTTAACTAAAGACAAGGGAATCAGATTGTTGCAATCTTATTGATGCAAGTGTTGTCTGAGAGGGATGGTACTTGAGTCATGTATCATGTAGGCTCATTTTTAGAGCCAGCTAAAATATCCTGTGTTTGTTGTTTAAATCAATATGAGAACCTGTTTATGATGTCTTAGGTAGCTTTCAAGTCATAGTGCTTGGGACCACTGTTTTCACGTGTTATGATGTTTATGGAGGACTTTCTTTTTTCCACACCAGTGGCCTATAGGTCATATGAGATTTGTTTAGATCAGTCAGCACTCATTGGGGGACATGATCATCATTATCACCCTGACTACTTCTACATTACCTGTACCTTTTTTAGGCTGGGGTCACCTGGGAGCCAAAGTCACTTTTTTTAGCAAAAACATCTGATTGGATTTGAATGTGAACCCCATACTAGGCAGACAAACATCTAACTGGTTTGCCAACATGGTTGTATTTTATTACAGATTTCATTGCATTTGTTTTTTTGGTTCTTCTTTCTCCTATTTATAAAGTATAAACATCACTTGTTTTACTACTTGAAATGTTTTTAGTTTTCCTCTTCTCCTTTGAACATCTTTGAGTAAACATTTAATGAAGGCAGCAGTCTGAGGTTGTTGACATTTCCATAGAAACTTCCTCACATGTAAAGGTGTCAACCACAATCATTTTCTCTCTGCTGTATATGGTGGTCTTACAGCAGATCATTTTTTACCAATTCCACAGCTTGATTCAGAGGTGTCTTCTGTTTTTAACTAGCCAGATTTTTTAGTGTGCTGAGACCAAATGTGGAAGCTTTAACAACACATCATGTGTTGTATGTGACCATGAGCGATCACACATCGTGTGTGGTATGTGACCATGAGCGATCACACATCGTGTGTTGTATGTGACCATGAGCGATCACACATCGTGTGTTGTATGTGACCATGAGCGATCACACATCGTGTGTTGTATGTGACCATGAGCGATCACACATCGTGTGTTGTATGTGACCATGAGCGATGCGGCAGAAATAGTCAAAGAAAGGTAGTCATGCTTGTGGCCTAAGTCAGCACATGGATGTGACACGTTGCCCGTATTTGTGGCTGGTAACTGCTGTCATATCTATGCTTTTGTTTGATCCTGGTTATCATTTTTAAATACTCCTCGTGTGGGTTCCGATAACCAGTTTTTGAGGAGACAACAAAAAGAAGAGACCCACAAGCGCTTCATTAAAGATCACTAATGAAGAGTTTGCTGATATCTTATGTTTTGGACTGCAAGATGCGGATATCGCAGCCTAGCTGTTAACCATACTGTGACATGCCAACCACCCCTCTAAGGGCAGTCCCAAAGAAGATGATTTGCATATTGTTCCTTTGTTTGGTAAACCCCCTTTGAGGCAGGGATTTGTTTTCTTTTTGGGGGTGGCTAACTCAAGCAACAAATCTGTGTGGAAGTCAGATGTGTCGGCCAAAAGGTGCAAATATCCCAGCCCTTTTGTGAATGGGCACAACGTATTAATGTCTTTAGACGAGTGTAGAGGAAGAGTTTTCTTCTAACATGAGCTCTTGGATCCACTCAGAAAACTCCTGATGGAAGGAGATGAAGCGGCTGTGTTGACCACATCACAAGTTGAGAACAGGTTGGTCGAAGTAGATTTCCAGGAGGATTTGTCAAGGGGTGCTAGTCATGGACAATACCAGAATTGACCACTACCATGGGCCCACAACTCTGTTTCAATGTACATACTCACTGTAATTACAAGCTATGATTTTTGTACAGTTTTATTTAATACCAACCGTAATTCTTATTCTATGTTTATGTACGAAACACTATTTGATCTAATGAATACGTCCATATGTACATACCACATACTTGCAGAGTAATCTCCCTTGGTAGCAAATTCTAGGAATTCACCGACCTATCTTGTCACAGAATGTGTTGGGGTGATCAAGTCCCCTGATAATCTCTACCCCTATCTTAATAGTCATATAAGGTCATTGACGTGCCAAACAGGCATGCTGAGGATATCATCATTTTTATTTTTCTGCATTAGCTTTCAAAAGAGCAGAAAGGAAGTTATGTTGTTGGTTACGGCTAGATTCTGCCCCTTTTGGCGGCCCAACTTATTCCATTTCAGAAAACCTTTAATTAGTCGCCTTGTCTAACCTACTTGTTGAGAGGCGGTGTATTTTAAAATTACTTTCCAGTTGACACTTTTAAATCTTATAACTTTTTTCTAGAATAAAGATTTCTAGTAGACTATAGTAAGTCTTATAGTAGGAAACATTTTCTATTACCTTCAAACTGTTTTCTATTAGAAATTGAAAAAGAAAGACAAAACTTACTTTGGTAAAACAAAACCATTAAGTACTGTCTGTACTTTGGTAAAACAAAACCATCAAGTACTGTGTGTACTTTGGTAAACGACTACAAGAATAAAGTAATCAAAATAATCTGATGTTTAATTTATATTGAGTCACTGCACAAGTTTTTCTAGCAGATTATTTTCAAGTTCTGATTCGTAAATTCCATTTCTGTTGCTTCCCTTCCATTGTTAACAGTTTGTTAAAAATTTGACATGATTTGCTGCAAAGATTTTCAGAAATATTTATTTATTGATAGTTGCGTGAGTTTAATGATATTTTTTACTGGGCACATAAATTAAACAGCAGAACATCGCAAATGTTTATTTCAGTGTTGGAGAATTCCTGTACCAGTTGTGCTCATTGTTTGTGTACATAATTGTATCCATTTGTGTCATAAATATATACATTTTTGTCATAAATATATACATTTTTGTCATAAATATATAAATTTTTGTCATAAAAATATAAATTTGCATTTGGGAAGCTGTCTGTTTATAAATGTCTTCCCCG